CACACACACACACACACACATATATATATATATATATATATATGGAATGCTTCGCAGTGCTTAATGGTAAGCAAGTCGGATAATACTGATGATAACAATAATGATAATAATAATAATTCTTAAAATAATGATAATAATAACAACAGTAAGAGGGAGGTCCAACATACATAAACATATAGGCCTACTTACATAAACATATACATACGAAACACATACATAGGGGTCTATATCAGTAAATAAAGAGTCAAATGGTATCAGAAAATGTATATGCCACAACATTTATTTAAAAACCAGAAAACGAGCGAGTGCTTTCGGCAGTAAGTATTTTATCAGGCTGGCTATATGATAGATAAATACTTATAGTCAAAAGTACTCGCTAGTTTGCAAATAAATTTTGCTGGTCATTATTATCTGATACCATTTGACTCGTTATATTATATACTTACCTGCCACGGGAGTGACTTTGATCTGTATATATATGCATTCCTACATCATTATTATTGTTGTCGCCTATAGCAACATTGTAACATTTTAACATTTTAGTTTCAACTGAACATGAACCGGTGAAGTCTGTCTCAAACTCTGCCTCATGGCGATTGATTCGCTTCGTCGATGATGTCTACGTTGGATTCCCTCTGAAACCAACTGCTGAATGAATTTCGGCCTATGGGGATGGTCGTAGTTTTGAGACACACCGACAGGAACAGGCTCTCGCTGAATATCTAAAGACAGAAAAGTCCAGTATGATTGATTAAAACAGATATAGACACTACAGTGTGTTGATCTCATCGCTCAAATCAAACCGAGTTTACTATATATTTATTTATTTATTTGGTCACACTACACCTTTGTATCGGTGGCACTCACAGTCGGTGGTGCGGTCTTACAAAATACGTAAGAGAAAAGGGTGAAAAGAATCTTAGCTAGCAAAACTTAACTAACAAATTCGTAACAGAAGCCCAATTATTGCCGAGTACCGTTGCTGTTTTCCCCACCCGTGATAACC